AAATACATGAGTGATCAAGATGTTAGGCTGCAGGGGCCGGGGAGACGGCTCAGTGGAATAAGCGCTTCCCTGGCAAGCGCAAGGGCCTGAGTTCAATCCCCAGTTCCGCAAAAAAAAAAAAAAAAAAGATGTTCACGTGCAGCTTCTTTGTAAAAGGTCAGAGCAGACAGAGCTCCCCAGAGGGCAGCGCTGGTGCAGGCGAGAGGCTGTCAGGCTGGAGACTGGGACCTGAGACAGTCGCAGGCTCTCAGCATGGGCCCGGAAGGCTGGCTGAGGGCAGCAGGCAGCAATTCTCCCTCTACAGGGTCACCTCAGGTTTATGCTGTGGCTGTGCGGCAGCATCAGTCTTCCAGACCTAAATTACAGACTCCACCCAGTCCTTCTCCATCTCATCACCCTGTTTCACTTGCCACGCCATGTGATTATCTGATTTGTGGTCTGACTGTTTATGTTCTACCTTCCTGTGCCCCATCCATAAGGCTGAGTGCAGAAACCTCGTCCCCCATTCTGGATCCTCAATACTTAATATAGTACCGGAGAGCGTGAAAGTGTTTGATAAATATTTGTTGAATGAAGAAATTGCATGCATTACATGCAGATTTAATTACAGTAAAGGTGAGACAAGGCCCAGCAATAAGAAATGGGTTAAATAAGCAGTGGCCTACCCATGAAATAGAAAACTACTCAAGCATAAAAACATGCTTGGAAAATTCCTGCTATGGATGAAGGTTTATTGTCATGAAAAAAATGCTATTATGTTATTGGATAAAAGCAGATATTTTTGAAAGATTTTTTTTTTCCGAGGGCCAACCAGATAGCTCAGAGGATTAAAACATCTGCTTAAGCAAACGCAGTGGCTTGGGTTCGACCCCCAGCCTGCTGTCCCGGCCCCACACCAGGGGCACGCTGAGACTGGGATTGAGACTGGGCGTGGTGGTGTGTACCTGTAATCCCAGCTCTTGGGAGGTGGACCACTATGAGTCCAATCTATGTAGTGAGACCCTGTAGACCTTGTACTAAACTACAAAAAAAAAAAAGAATTTTTTTTTCCAAACAGAAATATCTAGAAAGATACACAATCAGGTGTGAAAATGATTATCTGTGAATGATAAAATTATTAGTTATATTTTATTTATATTAATCTTTTTCTGTAGTGAATACAATCATTCAGTGATAAGAGAAAAACTTACCTCGATATTGAAAAGTTAATATGATAATATTCTTAAAAATTTAAATTTTTAAAGATTAAATAAACCATCATCTGAGGCACTGATCTGAAATACCCTAAATATGTTCAGCATTAATTGGAATTTCTTTCAACATTTGAGAAAATGATCATATCTACTACTAAAGATGACCTAAATTTTGAACCATTTATGATTACAGGTTTTTAAAATATAATTTGAACTAAAAAATTATTGCATTACTCATTTCTACTTTATTATTGATTGTGAATTAGTTATGGAATGAATATAATGTCAAAAATGAGCCCGGGCATTTTTCGTATGTTTCTGGACTGGGTGGAGTGCAGGGCTAACATGCTACTTTATATTGAAATGCACCACACCTTGGTGTAATTTTCCAGTGAGTATAAAGTACAAAGCAAGGATTAAATTATATAGTTTCTGGCCGTCAACTCAATCAACAGCTGTGTTGAGCAACTCCTAGGTATAAAGCATAGTGCGAACAAAAGAAACATCAGGATGTACAGAAAACAATCTCTGTCCTCAAGAAACTTGGTGTCTCAAGTTGTACACACTTTCTGCTGTGGTGAGCAGTGGGGTGACAACCAGGAGTCTGCCCACCGGGGTTTGACTTTCTTTTGAGGTCCTTTCACATCAAATAACACTGGTCATTCCCAGAGTCTCCAGAGAAAACTTGCCTTCAAGAACAGCAGAAATTTCTCTCGGTCATCTTGAATAAAACTAAGACAATTTAGAACTTTTAAAGCAACAACTGGGCCGGGGAAATAGCTCAGTAGAAAACGTGCTTGTCTAGCAAGCGCAGGGTCCTGAGTTCAATCCCTTCTACCAGAAAAAAATAAATAAATAGCAACAACTGCTGGATCTAGCAGTAATTTTTATTAGAAAATTTAAAAATCTTTGTATGATAGTCCACTTCAAGTGTTAGATAATATATAATGAATCCTTTTAATGTACATGTCAACTTGCAATAAAATAAGAAAAAAATCCCCCAAGTTCTACAATGAAAGAAGCAATTAAAAAGCCAAAACCAAAATAAGAAGCTCTTAAGTTGATATGGTAGCTGGCTGAAGATGGAAATTGTCATTTTTTAGCAATTTGGGATCTAAGCTCATGAAGAATAGGAGATAACTTTGAGAGCAAAGCAGGAGATGGCTTCAGTGACGAGGACAGACTAAGGAAACAATGTCACAAGATACAAACAAGCTGCCTTAGTCTGGGCTTACAAAGAGGGAAAAGAATAAGCCTTTAAAACCTACAAGCATGAGGGCCGGCAAGATAGCTCAGCGGACTAAACACCTGCTTTGGTAAGCACAGGGACCAAGGATCCAACCCCCGTCCCACGTCACATGCTGGGCCCCACCTCTGGGGCACACTGAGCCAGCAACTGAGTTCGGGTGTGGTGGTTCATGCCTGTAACCCCAGGACAGGGGAGTTTGAAAACAGGAGGGTAACCACCAGTCCAGTCTGTAGTGAGACCCTATAGATCCTGTACTAAATACAGGGGATAAAAAGGAATAAAAGATAGACAGGTAATATCATTAAAATTTTTAAAAATAAATTTTAATTTAAAAAAACAGGTAGATTAATGAGATAGAATTTTTACATGTAAAATTAATATAATTGTGAGCCCCAAATGCAGACCGTGGCCATCAGTCCTTCTGGTAAGGCTCCACAGCCACCTGGGGCCAATGCTTTTTCTGTCTTTCTGTTTCAACTCGTGGCCGGTGACACTGGTTTTGCCTCAACAGGCAGCTCCAGCCACTGACACATATCCCAAGCAAGGAGAAGGAAAGGATGAGAAAGGAAAGGGACAAAGTGTTTGAGGCCATTCTATATAAAAGTACCTTGGAGGTACCTCCACTAGCACCCTCTTGTCCAGAACTGTGCGATGTGGCCACTCTTAGTTACGTGGAATCTTTACTCTGGGTAGCCACAGGTCCCACTAAAAGTTGGGAGTTTCATTAAGATATAAGGAAGGAAATATAGATATGGAAGTTAACATAATAGTTGGCAGACAATATGAAAAGCACTGCGAAGAAAAACGGTAAACTGAAGGAAGGAGTCCTCAGACTGTATGGGAAACTGATTCCAGAAGCCCAGGGACGCTCAAACCTAAGGTGGCTTGGCCCTTTGTGACAAATGGCATCATATTTGGTTGCACCCTATGCACATCCTCCCATACTTTAAGCCAGTGCTACATTATTTATAATATCTAACATAATGTAAATGCAACGTTAATAGTTGTCATAGTGTATTGTTGTGGGCATAGTGACTATAAAAAATTCTACACAGTTAGTGCAAATACAACTTTTAAAAACTATTTTCAATCCAAGTGATCACATCTTTCAATGCAGAACCACAGACAGAGGGATGATTAAATGTTGAAATGGTTTAGAGTGCAGTAGTTTCTGAAATACAGAATGTAAAAAACCTACATGCATTTCGAAGGAAGCCTAAGAATCAATGCAAGGCAATATCTGCAGAATGATAACTCTAAATTTTCAGGAATAAATAAAAGTCACAAGTCAGAGACACCAAAGTGTCAGAAGATAAAACACATTATTTTCTTTCTCCCACAAAAGAAAATTTTAAAGCTGGGCACAGTGATGCACTCCTGTAATCTCAGCACTTCAGGAAGCTGAGCAAGGAGGACCACCATGTGAGCTGTGCCTGTGCAAATCAGGGAGATCCTGTCTGAAAATTTAAGTGAAAAGTCATGAAAGGGCAAGGGATATAGCTCATGGTAGAACACCCTGCCTAGGTTTAATCTTCAGTACAAAAGGAAGAAAAGGAAGGGAGGGAGTGAGAGAGGGAGGGAGGGGAAAGGGGGAAGGGAAAGAGAGAAGGGAAGAGAAGGGAAGGGAGTAGGGGGAGAGGAAAAGAAAAGAAATTAAGCTTACCCTTCTCAATTATTAGTGTCAAAAATATCTCTAAAATGATTGTAAGCAATACTTGCCAACCTAGAATTCTATATTCCAGAAAAACATCACTTAAGTCCAACGACCAAAGTAAGATCTCTTCAGATGAATACTGAGCTTGCTACTAACAAAGAATGACTAAAAGAACACCGGAGTATTTATTTCATCAAGAAAGAAAGAAAGAAATTGAACAAGAAGGGAAGAATGCTGTAAATAAATGGTCTGCAGAGGAAGGAAAAAGGTGGAAATGTGGACCAAATAACAACCATTGCTAGTATAAAATGGTGGATTTGAGGATGCTAATATTAAGCTATAAATATTGGAACAACAAAGAATTTAAAGGAAGAAAATAGGAGAGTTAGTGTTAAAGTGCTCCAAAGGGTAACAATGTCCCTGAGACATGTAAGGGGTAGAGAGCTGTCCGTAGACCATGGCTTGGGGTTCTGACCTCCCTAAAGACAGCATGTGTCCCACCCAGTGTCAGCATGGACTAAGATTTCTAATTCCAACTCCTCTGGTATTACATGGTAAGATCCTGCACTTTCAAATTCCTTGTCCTTTTTTCATTGAAATTTTAAAAGTGGTGGTGGCAGATACAGAAAGAAAAGGGCAGAAAAAAAGGGGCAAAAAATAAAGAAAAAAGGCAGTATAGCATGCTGTCTGTGTAGATACAAAATAATAGAAAATAGAGTCCCAGGTTTCTCTGTACGCTTTTAGTATAGATGGTGGCAGTGTTTCCTTCCTCTGAACTAGAAAAATCTGAGAAAAGAAGAAAATAACTAGTTGGAGGGTAGTTCTGCGTAGTAGATGTGCCTGAGATATCCAAAAGAACATATCCTGCGAGAATTAGAAACCCTTTTTTTTTTAAATTTTTTTTTTATGTGAGATGGTTGATCTGGAGCCTGCAGGGAGCAAGCTGGCCCAGAAGTCACCAAATCCACAATTTTTTCTGCCTCTAACTCTTACATGTCTAAAGACGAGGAACCCAAGACACACCTTTGTAAGAGGGTGAGAATTAGAAACTCTTAACCCGCAATTTAAAGGAAATTCCCATGCTACCAAGAGAGTTTGGAGACACCCACATAAAGGAATCACCAGATTATAACTTTCTGTCTGAAATTATGACCAGTAGCCCAGAAAAATTAGGCCCTCTAATGAAAATATGAAGAACGTGTGATTGAATTCGGGAGGTTGGTAGGACAAAAACTGCAGAGCTAGGGGAAGATACTAACAGAAAATAAAGAAGACCAATGACTGGAACACGCTGTGAGAAATGCTGTCTCCGGAAGGGAGAAGCAGAGGCTGCTGGATGACTGGTCAGTGCTGGGAGGAGGCCCGGCTCCCTGCCCTGGGGAGCCAGGGGACATCAGTGAATGTCCACTTTCAGAGATGGCTTGGTGACTGGAGTGAGATGACCTAGCCAAAAGGCCGACAGAACAGCAGGGTTGAAGAAGATTTAAGGAAAAGAATTATAGACGGTGCTCTTTGAAATTTAAGAAAGACACTGAGAAAAGCTAGGTGAGCACAACACTAGAGATGAAGTTAGTACCCCTGATTCTTACACTAAAAAGTTGTTGTTGTTGTTGTTGTTGTTGTTGTTGTTGTTGTTGTTGTTGTTTTGTAGCTCTGGGGATTGGGGTACTGAGCATCAAAGCAAGCACTCTACCACCAAACTTCACCACTAGTCCCAGGGTATTTTGATATAATTAAAAAGCATAAGAAAAACAGAAAGAAAGAGACAGAAACAGACAGACAGACAGACACAGAAACAGAGACACCTACCAAGCTCTACATTGCAAAACGCTGTGATCCACCACGGCTCCAGAAGAACTTCCAGATGCTTTGGTAAGTCATGCAGAGCGCTGCCATAGCTGTTTTCTGACCAGCTACAGGTACAGCCCCACCTACCCTGGTCTCCACGGGCCTCAGCCATACAAAATTGTTCACTGCAAAACACAGGTTCACCTCTCTAGCCTTTGCACTTGGTGTTTACTGTAACAAATGTTTAATACGAATATGTCTTTGATTTTTTTTTTCCTACGTTCTCAGCCTAATTCCTACATATCTTTCAGAATTAAGGTCAAATGGTACGTACTGCCTCAGCAGTATGAACCATACCTGTGCTGAGGGCTGGGCTCAAGCATTCATCCCATTACATAGTTTTACGATATTTGAATTCCCCACCAATCTACTAGAAAGGAGTTAATTTTGTGTCCTAAAGTGCCGAGAATATACTAAGTGCTCAATCAATATTAAAGAATGAAATGGTATAGTAGTGAATGAACAGAAAATCATGTAAGGACTGGGGCAGAGGGAGAATTTTAATTCTTATCTCTTAAATAGACGGAAGTGAATTTCCTATGGGTAGCAAAAATGAGGTTCATAGTTCAATTAGAAACCATTGCTCTTGCCTTCAAACATTCAATCAAAGGAGAAGAGAAGCTTGCTTTTCTGGGACTGACTGTCACTCCGGCGAGGACATATTTCAGATTTATCAGAGCTAAGTCACTTTGAGCTGGGGCAGCAGCATCTCCAGAATAGAGGGTGTATTCCTTACCCACCAGGATGCCAGTTTCTTGTTGAGCCTGTTTCACCTAATTAAGACGAAGCTGCTGTCCCTCCAGATGGAATTTCCTACTATAACTGTTCAACGGTTGAAAGGTAGTAAGACGGATTTGGCACCTGAAAGGACGATCTTGTGACTCACTGAGCCGGAGACACCCTCTAGCTTCCGCAACCTTGGCTGCTTCTGCCTGGATTCCTAGAGCCTAAGCCGGGAATGCAGCCTTGTGAACCGTCTAGGCCAAGTCTCTGAGTAATTTCTCCGACTTCATTGTCTTCACCTTCTTCTCCTGTGACTCAGCTTCTTCCTCTTTAGTCCCCTCTGCTGCTGACTTCTTAGGTTTCGGTTTTATTCATTCGTTTATTCATTTCTCACCACGTATTTCTTGTGTGCCCAGTGTCTCCGTTGCCCTTCACACAGTACGCTGCGCTGAACGAGACAGAGCAGTTCTGTCTTCCCAAATCTCATTGCAGAAGCCAGACCACATCTGTTCCCAAAGATCAGTTCCTACTTCTTTCTGGCTTGTTATTATTTATCTTAGTTGTGTTCATTTCAGTCTCCTTTTTTTTTTTTTCTTGTATTTTAGGGAAGGGTCTACAAGGTGTTCCGGGTGTCACTACTAGATCGGACTTGTAGTGATCCACCTATTTACAGGCTCCCAAGAGCTGGAATGACAGGTGTGCGCCACCACACCCAGTCTCCATTGCCATCTCAGTGTGCCCTGGGATCCGGGCCAGCACAGCAGGTCCAGGGATTGAACCCCGAGCCCCTGCGCCTGCTTTCATTTCTGCTTTCAAAGGTTCTGTATCCACAGTTGCAGGCCCATGTCACTAGCCCATGGTCATCCTACCAGCATCTCCAACTCAACAGCACTCACCCTTTTCTTCTCTGTGCCTGTATTTTTGGTGACTTCTCTATTTTTCTGTCACTAAAGATCTGCCAGGTGTTGGGCACATAGCCTCAGAGATACCCCAGTTGCTTCTTCTTCCTCATCCCAGTGCTGCACCCAAATTTATCTGTTCTTCTTCCTTCCAGACAAATGCATTTCACATCTCTCCTTTTCTCTTCTTGCTCACTGCTATGTGCAGGATTCAGTTATCTCGTGGAGCCTGGGCCATTGCACTTGCCCACGCTGGTACTCCTCCGGAGCATCCTCACTATTGCCACCTGTCAGTCCTGAGGGCATGTCGTAGAGTGCTATGGTTGCTATGTAGGTCAACTTCTACCTTCCTGGAATATTTCTTTCAGAACTATTTTCCCACTACCATACATCACAAATATACCATGTAAAGTCCTTGAATTGGAACTCAAAACATCCAAGACCTGGTGTCCTTTCTCTCTGAAAATGTATCCTGGAGGGTTTTTCTACCCCACTGCCATCTCCTCAGACCCCCTTTCTCCTCCTTCCATTAAGTACAAGGCTACTGTCTTTCTTCTCAGAAATGCATGGTATAGTGTTTTGTTCAAAAGGTTTGGGAGCCAGACACATCAAGACCAAAGCCTTCTGCACAAGCTGTATACTCTTGGCATGTCTACCAGTCCTGCGTTCCAGTTTTTTATTCAAGCAAATGAGGAGGAAACTTACCTTGTGGGGAGGGTACAAGAACTTAATAAACAACATTAAGCTTATAATATATGATTGATCAAAAATGCTGGCCTGACTCAGTCTATCCTTGCCTTACCTGCTTTACAGAGTAGCCACCAGGTAAAAGAACAGTTCTGACAGGTAAAGTAGGAAGAGTCTGATTTAGGGTGGAATTTTTGACCTCTACTTATCAATTTTTGACCTCTAGCTGATTATTTTCCAGCTAGGTCATATTTTCAGAGAAAAGGGGTAGTTAGTGAAAGTGTCCAGTGGGCCAAGGTACCTGGAAGCACCCCTTAAACACTCCAGGCCTCACTGTGCCAGTGAGGACAGGACCCCACATCCATCGGTCCCCCTGGTGTGTGCTTCATCCTTGCTGCCATCCTCCCAGTCCTCTGATGCGCACCCACGTGCCTCATGTGTACAAGAACTGTCCCCATTCGTGTTTATGTGTCTCTTGGTTAAGTGATCATCCTTTCCCAAAGCTTAGCTTCAGCTTCCTGCTCAGGGGCTGCCCCTGGCCCCCAGTCTGTTCTGAGTCAGGCCATCTCCACCCCTGACTCTCAGTCCATGAAGTCCCAGGATCTGTTGCTTCAGCACACATCACTCATCGCTGGCGTGGAGAAAGAAGGGCCTTGGTGATGTCATCTGTTTGCAAACAGCTTCCACAAGTCCCCTCCCACGGGAAGTCACATAATCTCAGAGATGGAAGCAAGAGGCACTCGCATGCCTGGCAGGGCTGCCTCGGTCCCGCTTCATTGGGGGTCATTTGATCTCAGCTTTAAGCAGCCTGGATGAACCGATGGGTTATTTCAGCTCTCTGTCTGAGTGGATACCTTAAGTAGATGGCTCTGGGTGGGTGCCATGTAAGAGCTCACCAGTCACTGGGTCATTAATGCCACAGTGGCTGCGAAGCAAGCTGTAATTTCCTAAGAGCCTGGGTGTGTCCACAGAGGTCCTAGCACCTCTGCCCCTGGAAGGTGGTTATTTCTAAGGTTGCAGGGTGTGACCATGAGCACCAGAACATCCACTTGGGTGTCAAACAGATTTCAGTTCAAGTCTCACCTTCCTCACTTGCTGTCAGGGACTCCGACATCCTCTAGCTGTGCAGCTCTGGTCCAAATCATTGAATCCCCTGAACCCCAATATATAAATACAGAGAGATAGAAATTAACATCTATTTATGAACCATTAAGTGACTATTAGGTGACATAATATGTAAAGTGCCTCCACATGTGTCTGGAACGTTAGTGCCCCATAAATGGTAGCTATTTTATCACTATGATTATCACCATTATAATTCCTTCTTTTCTGAACCCAGGTGACACCATGCAGAAGGCTCGTTCCTAATACTTCCTCTTGCCTACAAAGAGCCGGAGAAGTCTGGCCTACAAGGCTGGGTTTCTGTCTTATTCAGGATGACACCACCACTCTTTCTGGAAAAGGAGATTCCCACATTTCTGAGCACAGCGTGTCACACCCCACAGTGAGTAGGAAACACGGGGGCCCCTGATCATGCCTTGGTTCCCCGGGGTGAGACTAGGAGAGGGCAGTTCCAGCCTCCTGGAAGGCTCAGCTGAGAGTTTCCACACCAAATCAGCCTGGACCAAGGATCCTCCGTGATGACAGTAAACAAAACAAAACAGCCTCAAACCAACCGGGCTGGCCTGAGCCCAGAACCCCCTAAAGTTTCCAATCCAGACCTCAGCCACGCAGTAACCTGGACCTGGGGCTGGAAGTGCCCTGTTGGCTCAGGAAAAGCAGAGCGGTAACACAACAAGCTCTGGAATCAGGTCCTCTTTGTCACATAAGCCTAAATGACTGCACAAATTAACCTCAGGTTCTCTTCTATAAAGTGGGC